ATCAACTTTTACAATTTGCAAGACAACATTCATTTTCATTTAAATAGTATATTAACAATTTTAGCACTTTTGTGAAACAATCTTTCCTTGCTTAAACACTTCTGACACTTTTTCTCACAAAACACGGCTTTTACACTTTGACTTATTATTGGACACGGTTGAGCCCCCAAATGTGAATTATTATTATTATGTAGTTTATTAATATTATATAAGTTCAATCCAAATTCAAGTTAAGCGTACAAAGATATATTTAAAATAACATCGACGGGATAACACTCGGTAACGGCTTGCTTGACGACTGGCAATGAACGGCTAAACACGACTGCTTTTAACGACCGACTCCAGACTGCTGCTACTGACGACTGTTTCTGCTGACGACTTCTTTAATACTCCTGATCCTCTCGACTGCTCTACTTATTCTATGTCTGCTTCTCGAACTTTCCATGTCTGCTTCTCGAAAGTTCGACTGCTGCTTCTCTCCGACTTCTGTAATGCCGCTATAGTGCCAATGCGTGCGCCTTTGCCAACCAAAGCACCGTTACCATTGTTACATATATATATAAAACAGTTTGTCCTGACTGATTGGCAATCATCGCCCAAACGGTAAGAGCTAGGAAGCTGAAATTTGGACACAAGATCCTTCTCACAGTTAATATGAGCACTAAGAAGATTTTGGAAAATTATAACGCCAAAGGGGTTCAAACGGGCTTTAAATATTGTATGAAAAATCTACAATTTTTATTTGATTTGCTTCAAACTTGGTTTGTGTAATTTATAAAAGAATTCAAACAAGTAAAAAAGCTAAAGTCGGGTGTCCCGACTTTGAAAAACTCTGTACATATGTTTACAATAATTATAGAAAACAAAAAAAATTAAAAAATTAAAAAAAAAAATTGATCGATTTTACCTTTCTCGCTATTCGAACTCACGTAAATGGTGTATAATTGCACATTTACATAGCAATTGCGTCTGTGTGAGTGTATGTATGCCTATGCGCATCTATTCGTATCTGTGTAAACATGTTAGCAGTCAACGAAACAGCAACATCAACAACAGCCGCGGGCAGCGCTTGTTGTTAAATCGGTCTATCATAGTGAAACTTGTCATACGGACACATAATAACTAACTGGGGGTATTTGCAAAATTTGAGTTCGAAATTCCAAGAATTACGGGAGTTAGAGAAAATCGCGATTTGCATGGGGGAGGGGGGAGGGAGGGAAATTCCAAAATATACATTTTGCGTATTCACATAAGGCATCTGGGACTAAAATTTGGTGTTCCTAGGTCTTATAGTCTCCGAGATATAGGCGATTATACGAATGGAAAATCGGGAAAACCCCCATAGGGGGAAAGTGGGGGGGAAAATCCAAAAAATAAAACAAACTCGTATAGAATACACACATAAGGCATCTTTGTGGAAAATTTGGTGTCTCTATCTCTTATAGACTCTGAGATCCAGGTGTTCATACGGACGGACAGACAGACAGGGCTAGATCGACTCGTCTCGTCATGCTGATCAAGAATATATATACTTTGTGGGGTCTGCCACGCCTCCTTCTGCCTGTTACATTTTTCAGCCCCCGCAAACCTAATATACTTCTGTACATTTCATGTACAGAGTATAAAAACGCTGCCTAATTGATTTTTCCCCATTTTTCCTGGGGCATGAAAAAGGGGGGCTTTCCCCTGGAAAAATTGAAACACAATCAACACCCCAAACTGTAAGTACTAGGAAGCTGAAATTTGAGCTTAAGTATCCCATCATAGTGTAGGCGAGCACTAAGAATTGTAAATTCGAGCTCCAAGTGGGGGAATATGACCTCCAAAGTATGTTTGAAAAATCTATAAAGAATGCAAAAAACTGCATACTCGTTTTTTTGAAATTGGTCTTGGAGCTTGAATTAGTGGGGTTTTAATATTTATTCACTTTTTCAAATGATAATTTTGTGTTCTAAATTTTGTCGATTTCAAATTTAGGTAATTTAATCTACGTAACTAAATCTACAACTTTGCATTCATGGATTTTCAAATTATAGAAATACTGTTCTCGCTTTACAAATGCAGGCAGAACAATCAACATAAAATGCATATCACACAGTTGAGGACAACTTAGTATACATACACACACATACAAGCAGCTGTTCGTGTAGTTACGTGCAAGCGATTGAAATACCCAAAGCGAAATGTGAGACACTAATGTGCGAATGTATGTACACATGTCAGAAATATTAAATAATTAAAAACGATTTAACATTTTCAAAAGTAATTTTGTTTTGTTCAGTAGTACATTTTGGCATTATTTATTTATTATTTAATAAACATTATACTTTTTTTGGGCTGCCTGCGTACGCCCTTGGTTAAAACAGTTAAAACGGTTAAAACAGTAAAGAGAAACAAAACAAAACCCATGGATGCATATGTATGGACATACATTTATATACATTGGCACGCTCTTATTCTTTCGTTAACATTTTTTGATCATCTACGCCTTTTTATTGCACAGGCAAAATGCCAAAAATTTACAGTTTCCGTCGCTAGGCAATGACTGAGTAAGCGATACTAAAGCAGAAACTGGATAACGGAGCTTCGCATATTCTGCTTCGCATTGCGGGCAGATGTATGTATGTATGCACATACATATGTATATGATTTATTCTAATTGATCTCAATAAATTATAAGATGTTATTATTTAAATATTCTGTTTATTGCATTCAAACTTTGATGTATCGATATCGATAGTATCGGTGGATTCAGCTATCGAAAGTTTTACTCTAGCAAATTGAGATGGGAAGTGTCAGTGCTTTTTGATTGTGGCTCATCGCTGTACGGCATTGACACGAGTGCCGTGTTTCATATTCCGAGTTCGTGCGTGACCGTATTGACTCTATAGGGCACGAAAAGACACAAATTTTAATTTAAAATTAGGATATACCCTTATAATTATTCCCCTTTTTTGCACATAGTCTACCTTAAAACGTTGCGTTATCTCTATATATATCAAACAGTTTGTCTTGACTGACTGATTGATTGGTGATCAACGCACAACCCAAGCGGTAAAAGCTAGTAAGCTGAAATTTGGACTCAAGTATCCTTTCATAGTATCCATCACAGTGTAAGTGCGCACTAAGAAAGGCTTTTGGAAAATTCGAGCTCCAAAGGGGGGTAAACGAGTGTGAAAACGAACACAAAATGTTCATTTAAATACCTAAAATGCCTTCCTACTGGTAATTAATAGGATGAAAATAAGAGGGTAGTTCATGCACACACACAAAAAAAAAAAACAAGTAAAAAAGCTAAAGTCGGGTGTCCCCACTTTGAAATACTCTGTACATATGTTTACAATAATTATAGAAAATAAAAAAAATTAAAAAAAAATTTGATCTATTTTACCTCTCTCGGTATTCGAACTCACGTAAAGGGTTTATAATTGCACATTTACATAGAAATTGCGTCTGTGTGAGTGTATGTATGTCTATGCGCATCTATTCGTGTCTGTGTAAACATGTTAGCAGTCAACCAAACAGCAACATCAACAACAGCCGCGGGCAGCGCTGTAGCAGCAAATATATTTATGGCTATAACTTCTTGTTAAATCGGTCTATCATAGTGAAACTTGGCATACGGACACATAATAACTAACTGGGGGTATTTGCAAAATTTGAGTTCGAAATTCCAAGAATTACGGGAGTTAGAGAAAATCGCGATTTGCATGGGAGAGGGGGGAGGGAGGGAAATTCCAAAATATACATTTTGCGTATTCACATAAGGCATCTGGGACTAAAATTTGGTGTTCCTAGGTCTTATAGTCTCCGAGATATAGGCGATTATACGAATGGAAAATCGGGAAACCCCCCATAGGGGGGAAGTGGGGGGGAAAATCCAAAAAATAAAACAAACTCGTATAGAATACACACATAAGGCATCTTTGTGCAAAATTTGGTGTCTCTATCTCTTATAGTCTCTGAGATCCAGGTGTTCATACGGACGGACAGACAGACAGACAGGGCTAGATCGACTCGTCTCGTCATGCTGATCAAGAATATATATACTTTGTGGGGTCTGCCACGCCTCCTTCTGCCTGTTACATTTTTCAGCTACCGCAAACCTAATATACTCTGTACATTTCATGTACAGAGTATGACAATTTGAAGCATTATATTGAGCCGGGTTAAGACGGGCAATACCTGCTAGTTTTTATATAATTATCTACTTTTGTTTCAAATTTAATCTAAATCGGTTCTAAGAAAAGTTATTAGCGAAACATTTCCACTCCGGTACTACGGCCACAAGCTGCAGCATCAAGTTCGCTCTTTTTCTTAATTTTGCTTCTGCTAGAGGCGCATATACCTCAGTGTAGGAAGTTTACCTGGGTACAGGGTATTTCACTGTCGGGCTTGCTCGACAGTAGCGTTCTCTCTTGTTGTTTTTAATTTTCCTGTTTTGTAGAGAGTATAGGGTATTTTACTGTAGGGCTTGCTCGAATGTAACGTTCTCTCTTGTTTTAAATAATTTGTATACCCAAGGGGTAAAAGGGTATACTAGTTTTGTGCGAATGTATGTAACACACAGAAGGAGGCGTGGCAGACTCCATCTGTCCATCCGTCTGCCCGCCCGCCAAGAATAACTAAATTTGGGGTACCGGCCTCCCCTAGGCAGATAGAATTTGTGTAATATCCTCCGCAAGAAGTGATTTTTTAGAACTCCTGTAAGTCTTGGAATTGTTTACTCAAATTCGACAAAATCATCCGATTAGTGTTATGTGTTCTTATTTTACATTTAATTTACTTATATTCCAAGCTACACTGTTGTTTGTGCTTTGTTTTAAATATAATTTAATGCTATTGTTATGGGTCTAAGTTGACAAAAATAAATGACTTCGGTTAATATTTTGGTAAGGAATTAATGGTAATTTTGAATAATATAATTCAAATATTTTGTATTAAAATGTATTTTATGTATTCGGTACTTATACAAAAATGTTTATTCTTGTGTATTTTAGATTGATATTTTTACTCAGAAAGAAACTGTTCATGGCTTGCAAGACGGCTCTAATGTAAATAAAGGCTCGCTATCACTCCCAGAACCAACAATGCCTCCGCCCCCTCCACCTACAATAACTATCACTCAGGACAAATTAAGACCTGAACCAATATATGAAGCAGTGACACATTTAGAATTTTCCCAACATCCTGAATCAAAAATTGACTCGACAATCGACAACAACAGAAATGTGCAGCCAAACGAAAATAATGTTCTTAAAACACAGCAAGAATTGGAGAAACCTATTGCATCAACTAATAAATTAAACGTCCTTCTTAGTTTACAACAAGGTCAATATTTTGAACGGGAGCAAAGACGGAAACATAGAGTTGAAAAAAAGCTTCAAGAAATGCATCATACTAATACGGATATTCAAAGAGATGAGCTTACCAATGATACTAATTATAATATACTGGAGTTTGCAGAAAATTTTTTTAATTCCCACGAACGTTTTTCTGATGGAACTCTAATTGCTACGCTTACAAGAAAGGGGAAAAAAATCACTGAAGTGGTACCAAAGTGTGAAATGATAATATTTTCCAGATGCGACAAAATACCAACATCCCACGTTCACATGTACGATCCGGAAAATGTGGCACTTGCTTGCAATATTTATAGAGTAAGTACGACTTTATTTTTATACTCTGTATGTACAGAAGTATATTAGGTTTGCGGTAGCTGAAAAATGTAACAGGCAGAAGGAGGCGTGGCAGACCCCACAAAGTATATATATTCTTGATCAGCATGACGAGACGAGTCGATCTAGCCCTGTCTGTCTGTCTGTCAGTCTGTCTATAAGAGATAGAGACACCAAATTTTGCACAAAGATGCCTTATGTGTGTATTCTATACGAGTTTGTTTTATTTTTTGCATTTTCCCCCCCACTTCCCCCCTATGGGGGTTTTCCCGATTTTCCATTCGTATAATCGCCTATATCTCGGAGACTATAAGACTTAGGAACACCAAATTTTAGTCCCAGATGCCTTATGTGAATACGCAGAAAATGTATATTTTGCAATTTCCCTCCCATGTGCGAGTGCACATGGAACACACAGAAGGAGGCTTGGTAGACCCCACAAAGTATATATATTCTTGATCAGCATGACAAGCCGAATCGATATAGCCATGTCCGTCTGTCCGTCTGTCTGTCCGTCTGTCTGTCTGTATGAACGCAAGGATCTCAGAAAGTATAAGAGCTAGAATAACCAAACTTGGTATACAGATTCTCCTGAGCCCGAGAAAGGACGAGTTTGTTCATTTTTTCTGATCCACCCCCCCCACTCCCCCCCTATTCACGATTTTCTATAACTCCCGTAATTTTGAATAATAATAATAATTTTGAACTAAAATTTGGTAGTCGCATTAGGTTAGTGATTATATATCCGTATACCAAGTTTGATTATGATAGAATGATCGGAAAGAAAGTTATAGCCATAAAACCAGGCCCAATGCACACATACATACATATGTACAAGTACACAAACACGCATAAGGCACGATTCGGATGTAAATGTAAATGTGTGTATGCATGCATGGAATATTTTATATTTAATTTAGTTAATTAATTAAATTAATTTAGTTAATTTAATTTAATTTAATTTAATTTAAAATTAAATTAAATTAATTAATTAATTTAATTACTTTCTTGTGGGGTGGTACAGGGTATTTACGAGTTGAGCCTGCTCGACTTTAGCATTCCTTTCTTGTTCCAATTATGTTATCTGGTGTAATGTTTCCAATTTCTTGTGTTAGGCGGCTTCGTTGTCCAGCAAATTGTTCACAGTGGAATAGTGTGTGCTCCACTTTATCCATGTCGGCGTCTTCGTATACACAATTAGCTTCTGTGCTTGTGCTTATGTGTAGAAAGCAGCACTCATTCGGACCGACGAAAAATTCTGCCCCGGCCAACGACTCACAAGCTAAAACTGAGTAGGCAGAAAGTACATAGTGAAAGGGATCGCGCACATTTCGCCTTGAAATATATTCACACAAGCATAACAGCATAAAAATTGCACACATCACACATATGTGTGATGCCTGCTGGCACGAACATTTTGCTGCTGACGGCAGCGGCTCAGTGGACCCGCAGCGTCTGCCGTTAGCGGCTCACGAATACCCGTGCGATATGTCATAGTGATATTGTCAGCTTCGCTGGCTGGTTTTATCCCTATACATTTTTTATAGAGGTAACTGCTTATTATTCTTCTTAAGCATCCGGGAAATCCTGAATCTCTGGATAAGTGCATCCTTGCCAACAGTACAGTTTGTCGGGAGATGTGGCTTCCTTGTCGATTTTTTATTGACGTTGTGATCACCTCCTGAATTGTTTCGATTGTAGACCTGTGTGGTCTAAAGCCGTATTGTCTCGAGAGATACCACCGGCTCTTTCACCTACAGCTGCTGGTTGGGGCTCCAGCAGTTTTCCAGCTGTGTTAAGGTTATCAGCACCAGTCGTTGCACCTTCCATGGATCGGGAAATGCTCTATTCTGAATGAATGGGTTTTACATAAGCGCTTCTGCCGGGATGTTGTTGAATAACTGACGGAGCTTGCGCCTGGGATCCATATAGCAGCTGTTCTTGTGTTGTCCAGAATCCGTTTTAGTTCCTGCGGTACTGTTCGCTAATAATCACCAGATCGGCTTGCTGTTCTGCAACTATCTGGGAAAGAAGGGCATCTGCTATTCTGCTCCTGTGTACATTTGCCTGAAGAATTTTCATATATTGTCTTTCCTTTTCTTGTTGGCAGTGCAGGTTTTCGCCCCTGGCAGGTGGTTGAGCAATATTTTCGTGGTTTTGTGCAACGTTTAATTGGTGGTCCATCGCAGTCCTTCTGTAAATGTCCGACGCCAAAGCATTTGAAGCAGCGCTTGATGTTGATACATCGTTTTACTCGACAGCGCGCCCAGCCTATGTTGAGTCTGCTCTCCTTGAGGAGGGAAATCAAAGGCTCGCTTTTGCTCTGAACTGTTTCTCCTGTCAATCGAATTTCGAAGTTCTGCTCAGCGTTGCTTATCGCCGTTCTCAGAGCGGATATGACTTCGTCCGTGCCTAGTTACCTGGCTTGAAGCTGGAGTTCGCACTTCGATTGGGACCGATGGTGGTAGCATTGGTCCTTTTTCCTTTGGAGTGCCTTCCGCTGCAGTGGAAGTACTCGTGCTTCGGATTTCAGTTGTTCGGGGTGTCGTGCCAACTGGTGAGTGCGGGACTCTGCTATTCTTCTGGAAAACGCTACCCTCGTCTTCCATTTCAAAAGCTTCCCTATTATCGTCTAAAACGTAGTGATTTTTTTCTATTTATGCATCTTTTCGTTTTGGTTCCAACTTCATGCCGCTATCGTTGTTTCCTTTTATACCCCCGTAGTTATCTATGCATGCCGTGTTCCAAGTGGCGCAGCGTGGAGGCCGCGTGACAGCTTGGGTGGACCAGTGTTCATTGTCGAAGTAAAACAAGAGATTCTTGCTTTGGTTCCCATTCTCTTCGGCGTAAGTTGTAGTGACGTTGTTGATCTTGCGTAGCTCATTGTATGTTGGCATGTGATAAGGCTAATATCTCCCTCAAACGGGTTGCTTTCTCGACAGGTGTTTCAGATTCGTTTCCAGTGCACTATGGTTTTTTCCCCCATTTTTTGGAAGAAATTCGAAATATTAAGATATTTAGTTTGTGCACATATTCCCCAAGGAAAAGTACCAAGTTTGGTTCAGTTTGGGCCACTAATTCATATAACTGTCATATAACCGATATGGCTGACTTTCACCGACTTTCGTATTTTTCACTCTATCAAACAAGGTTTATTATTTTCTCTTATGCAATATATATTATTTTCAAAAATAAAGTATTGAATCATTGACATATTTTGTTGCATTCATATTTTATTGATTTAAATCCATTCTGAAAATTAAGAAAATTTTTAGATAAATTTAAATATTTCAGCTGTGCTACAAAATACTCTTCTGCCAAAACAATATCATCTAGCCCAAGATCAACTTGTCCGTCATCCCCCTCATCTGACTTTCTTGTGGGGCTTTATTCTTGTATATAGTGTAAATTCTTGTATATAGTGTAGCATAGCCACTGTTCAACAATACCTAGGGCCCACTGTCACAAGCGACGAACGCGAAAGAAAGGTTTGGGATTACAGCCTACTGACCTACTGACAAGGCAAGTGTCAACGCTCTAAGTGCGCCACTTGACTTGCAGCGTCAACGCTGGCTCTGACCCAACGACCAATCAAAGTAGCGAACGAAACAGACTAATTGACGATCGATGCATAGGGAAAATAATAGGAACAACCCAGGGTCGTATGCCAGGGTCGTAGCCGTTCAGACCTTTTTCACGCATTTGCGGGCAGACATAATGAGCCAACATCCACCGATATCGATTCCCATCAACTGTTTCGCCTTCTTTGAAGAAAAATGGCCCAATGATGGTTTTGGCGCAGACACCGGCCCAAACAGTCACTTTTTGATCATGCAATGGTGTTTCATGAATCTCGTGTGGATTTTCCGTTCCCCAAATGCGGCAATTTTGCTTGTTAACGCCGCCAGAGAGTGTGAAATGGGCATCGTCAGTCATCAAAATTTGCTTCCAAATTCAGGTTCAATGTCAACCATTCGAGCAACTGTTTGGCCGTATTCCAAGCGACATGGACAGTCTGTCGGCAAAATTCTTTGAGTTAATTGCACTTTATACTGAAACAAATGCAAATCGTCCTTTAAAATGCGCCGCAAAGTGGTTCCACTGACGTTAAAATGCTGAGCACGGTGGCGATACGACACATTTGGGTCCTGGGCAACACTCTCTCTTACCATTTCAATCAGTTCATTGGAACGTCTTGGTCGTTGATGAACAACATGTGGACGATCTCCTACTGTCCCGTGCTCAATAAAATTTGAAAACAAACGACGAATAGTGGTGATGGTGCCTGTTTGTCGCGATATTTTCGACGATATGCACGTTGAGCTAACACAACGACTATTTTCAATGTAAAGCGTCACTATTTCAGCGCGTTCTTTCGGAGTAAAGCGATTCATGATTAAAATTGACAAAGTTATTCAATATTTACATACCGACATAAAAGATGGCGCACCCTGTACACACATTAGACATTAAGCGAATATTGTTATTACATAAGACATTATATACATAATTAGTACATAAGCCACAGATGTATAGGTTAGGTTGAAATGGCTGGGGTGATAACGTTCACCCGCCCACTTAGGCCTTAAGGCCCGTTGTGATACCATGTAATCCCTAATTGTGCTGGTCAGTCTTCAGCCACCCGGTGGTATTTAAGAATTTAACTAGATCCGCGAGCTCTACATTTTTCATTTCCGAGAGGTCGCTCAAGAATGGCTTCCCTAGGGTGTGTAGTCTGCGCCTGCTCAGCGCCGGGCAGTGGCAGAGGAGATGCTCCACACTTTCCTCTTCCTCTTCGTCTCTGCAGCTTCTGCAGAAATCGTTAAACGGGATGTTTAGTCTCCATGCATGTCTGCCAAACGGACAGTGACCCGTGAGAGTCGCCACCACCATGGAGATCTCACTCCTTTTCACACTCACTCCTTTTCACAAGCTTTAAAGTCCTTTTTATGTTAAGGGATGGCCAGGTAAGCTTAGCTCGA